TGGCAGCTGCCTATCGTGGTGCTGGGGGAGCCTGGCTGGTGCTTCGCCAGGAGAAGCCCCATCGCCAGCTCACCTCCACCCCGGACAGGTAGGAGATGGTTGGGGGGGGCAGGGGGGAAAGGGGCATGTGGGCATGGCACCCTTGGAGCTGCTAGGACCCAGCCTGGGCACTCATCCTGGATGTCCCATCTTGCTGCCATCTGGCAGAGGTCCCCAGGGTGGGCTGCTGGTCCCTGGGAGGGAGCAGGACGCATCTTGATGGCTTGTCTGCAGCTTTTGGGCACTCCATCCCAGCTCCCTGCTCTAATTCTGTCCAGAGGAGGGTGTGGGGAGGCTGGGGAGGGGGCTGCCATTGTGATGGGGGTGAGGAAGGAGCCGCCAAGGTGACGGAGCTCCAGATTCCCTTCTCTCTGTGTAGGGAGCACGAAGTGGAGCTGTTGCAGGAGGAGCTGGCCAGGATGGAGATGAGCTGCCTGCAAGGTGAGACCTGGCTGGGCAGGGGGATGCGGGAGCGATGACCATGAGGTGGGAGGTGTGGTGGCTGTAGGACAGAGGTCTGAAGCTCCAGCATGTCCCCATCCTGTCCTGGGACATGTGTGTTACCCCAGAGTGTCCCCAAGCTATGCTAGGGCATGTGTACCACCCCAGGGTGTCCCCATCTAACACCTGGGGACAGTGGCACTGGGAGTGTGTCACCACCCATGCCATGTTCTTGCAGAGCCCTTGTGCCTGGAGCAGCCCCCAGCGATGGCGGGGGACCTTCCCGGCTTAGCAGGGCGGGTGCTACCTGTCCCTGGTAGCTGGAGGACAAAGCTGAGCTCACGTGAGGTAAGCCTGAGCTGGAAGTAGGTGCTGGGTGGGAGGCCCCAGGTTGGGCCAGACTCTGCTGCTGGTGGCCAGTTGGGTCCCCCTAAGGGTCACGTCCTCTAGGGCTGAGGTGTCCTCATCGTGACTGCACCTCTGGGTGCTGGACACCCCAGTGGGAGAAGGCCAGGGGTGGTGCCAACAGCGCTTGTGGGGACATGATGTCCAAGGAGGACTTACGGGTGGAGAGGGTGTCCTCCAAGGATGGATGGTCAAGGCACAAATCCTATATGACCCACATGTCCCCATGGGACAAGGGACACCTGGAAGGTCACCAGGGACAGAGGATGCCCTGCAAGAACCTCTTCTTCCTCCACCAGGTGATGGTGGAGCCAGCCCTGGGTGCTGGGAAGCATTGGGAGCCCAAACCCTACAACCTGAGCCAGTCTCTGACCAGCGATGTGTGAGTGCCAACCACAGGGGACATCCCTTCTCCAGGGACACGTTGGGGCTAGTGTCACCTTGGAGTGCAGCCAGTGACCTGACAGGCCCTCTGGGTGCTTCTTGGGGTGCTGGTGCTGATGGGCCTCTCTTCCATAGGTCCTTGTTGTCCCCACGGTCTCCATGCCAGGGGCTCACCAGGGCCGGGCAGCGATGCCGGAAGAAAGCCATCCCTGGGCAGGACTTCTGCCATGTCCACACCACCAGTTGAGCCTCGTGCAGCAGCTTGGCCATGGACTTGTCCCCCCATATCTGACCCTCTACCTCTGCCCAGAGGAATTTTAAACCCTTTTTTGGCTCTTCTAGATCCTAGTGGAGAACACGTGGTGGTGCTTGGGGCCCTACGGGTGCCATCTGGCACGGGTACAGGACCGTGCTGTGGGGCAGACGTTCCTCATCCCACCAGTTTTATACTATTTGCACGTATTTTAATAAATGCCACATTTACAGTTGGAACCTTCCCCATTCTGGTCTCCCCCCATCCTGACGCTGGGGCTTTGGGACCATCCCCACGTGCCGAAAGCAACAGCAAATGCCCGGCTGCCATTCCTGCACCAGAGGAACCCTGACCACCTTCCCTTTATTACAGCTTAATTACAGGTAATTAGCAATATAGCTCATAACAGCTCAGCCAGAGCCACCAGCCTCTCAGACATGGCCAAGGTGGCGGTGGTGGCTCCAGTTGGCTGCTACCACCTAGTCTGGGGTCCCAGTGCCTTTGGGGTGCCCTGACCTTCCTCCCCGCTCCTGCCCTGGGCATCCTGCACCGTTCCCAGCAGTAGGCAGGAATGTGGGGGCTGCTCACAGGGCTCTGGCCCCCTTTTACTTTGGAAATGTCACTGTCACCCACCCAGCCCCGTCCTCTGCCCCAGCAAAGGACAACCCTGAGTTGAAGAGGATGATGCTGGTCCCAGTGTCGTGTTGGCCCATCACTTTCTGGCGTTGGCATAGTTGGTGGTGAACCAGGTGCAGGTCTCCTTCACGGCTGGGGAAGAAGATGGGATGGGGTTTGAGAATGCAGTTCGTTCATGGAATCAATGAATAATTTGAGTTGGAAGGGACTTCTAAAGGTCATCTAGTCCAACCCTCCTGCCACGAGCAGGGACATCTTCACCCAGATCAGGTCGCTCAGAGCCCTGTCCATATTGACCTTGATCGGTTCCAGGGATGGGGCATCTACCACCTTTCTGAATAACCTGCACCAGTGTCTCACCACCCTCAGCGTAAAAAAATCTCTGCCTTATATCTAGTCTGAATCTCCTCTCTTTCAGTTTAAAGCCATTAGCCCTTGTCCTATCCCTACGGGTCCTATTAAAATGTCTGTGCCCATCTTTCTTCTAAGCTCCCCTTAAGTATTGAAAGGATGGACCATCCTGATGCCACCAAGGCTTAATTGCAGTGGGTGGGGGACCCCTTGACCCCCTGGTTTTTCCCGGAGCCCCTCATCTCACCTTGCCTGAAAGGTGTGAACTGGAAGCTGGGCAGGTAGCGCCGTAGCTTGGCGTTGCTGGCCGTCTTCTTGAACTGCCCATCTGCTTTGCTGGTGTCGAACTGGGGCGGGAGGGATTAAGGGAAACCAAAGGGAGGAAAACCAGGTCTCGCTCTGCTCTGCTGTGTCCTGGCTGGGGCAGTGGAAGGGATGTTCTGGACCGTGGCATCTCCCCTGGAGCCCTACGGCCGCTGGTGAGAAGCGGGGTGCCCCCCACCACAGAGCAGCCCTGTGAGAAAGGGGGGATCAGCATGCAGCAAAGGATACGACAAGCTCTCCCCTGAAGTCCATGGCCTCCACGATCGCTTCCGCTGCTTCTCTGATGGAGACTTCTTCTTCTTCTCCCACTGTGGAGAAGAGTATGATTGTGGCTGTTCCTCCATCCTCTTGGTAAAGGGGCTGGAGCAGGGGGTATGGGGGGCCCAGCCAGGGCTTACCTGACAAAATGATGGGTTCCACCTCATCGTATTCCCGCAGGACCCAAAGGAAGAGCCGGGCCAGGTCCTGCGGAGGAGCAGATGGCTCTTGGAGGGTGGCTGTTGTCCCCCAGCCCTCCCATTGCAAGGGGACCCAACCCTAGGGCTGGCCAACGCTGCCCAGGATGACCCAGGTGGGCTCAGACCCTGCTGGGGTCCAGGCACCGGCCCCCCCAGCCCCTTACGCTGCCCTCCCCAAGTTGTGGGAGGGGAGTGCTCCTCGAGACCACGCATACCAGGGAGTAGATGAATTGTCTCCTGGGCTTGCCCGTGCCCCAGATGGTCAGAGCAGAGCCGGTCTCTGCAGGGGGAAGGAAGGAGAGAATGTCCATGAGCATTGGAGCCACCTCCACCCACTCCGGCTACCCTGCAGAGCAGCTCTTGGAGCAGGCAGGGGCAAAAAAAACCCCAAACAAAACAACCCAATCCTCCCAAAAAAGCCCTAAGAAGTCCTGCCATGCTCACGTTTGGCCAGGTAGACCTTGTGGATGAGTCCTGGCAAGACGTGGCCATCCTCAATGTTGAAGTTGTCATCTGGCCCGAAGACGTTCACCCACTCCGGCTACCCTGCAGAGCAGCTCTTGGAGCAGGCAGGGGCAAAAAAAACCCCAAACAAAACAACCCAATCCTCCCAAAAAAGCCCTAAGAAGTCCTGCCATGCTCACGTTTGGCCAGGTAGACCTTGTGGATGAGTCCTGGCAAGACGTGGCCATCCTCAATGTTGAAGTTGTCATCTGGCCCGAAGACGTTGGTGGGGATAACAGCAGTGAAGCGGCAGCCGTGCTGCTCAAAGTAGCCCCTGGGTGAGAGCAGGGTGGAATGCAGGTGGGTTGTCCACCAGCTGTAGTCACCTCCCTCCAGCCAGAGCTGTCCCCAGAAGACCCTGGCCAGCAGCATATCCATCTGCTGAGCCCAGGTATCTCCCCAGCTCCGTTTAATTTCCGGGAGTCCTAGAGAATTCCCCTTGCCCTGATAACTGGAGGGTGCTCGCAGCCTGTAAGGGCTCTTCTGTGTGTGTCCCCGCACCTATTCTGGATGTCGATCATCCTCTTGGCGTAGGAATAGCCAAAGTTGGAGCTGTGAGGTGGCCCGTTGTGAATCTGGAGACAAGAAAGCAGAGAGTTAAGCATGGTAGGGACCCGCCAGGGCTGTGCACGGGGATGGAGATGTTCACCATGCTCTCGTCGATGGGGTACGTTGTCTTGTCTGGGAAGATGCAGGTGGAGAGGCAGGAGACCACCTTCTGCACCCCCATTTCATATGCTGAGTGCAGGACATTGTCGTTGATATGGATGTTTCTCCTCTGGAGATGGAGAGATTTGTCAGATCTGTGGGGTGAGAACCCCCAAACCCCTGCACCCTATGGGTAATAACTCCAGAACCAGAGAAGCTCTGGTTTGGCCCTGGGAGCAGAGCAAGTCATGTCCCAGTGTCCCCATGTCCTGGCTCAGGGAGGGCAGGGGGTTGCAGCATCCTCAGGGACCCCATAACCGCCTATTTGCTGGGTGCTCACCCAGAAGTCGAGGTTGTAGCGGATGTTTTTGAAGAGGCCCCCGACCATGGCAGCCAGATGGATGACATGGGTGGGCTTGTGCTGCTCGAACAGGGCTTTGGTCTCCGCGGCACTCCTGATATGGGAAATTTTGAGGTTCTGAGGTACGGAGGAGCAGACCAGGGGGGTGTTCCAAGTGAAAACCCACACGGTCAACTCACGTCAAGTCGGCATCTCTGGAGGACACGAAGATCCACTCCTCGTTCGGCTGTCCCTCTCCATCAGCCACCACCTTCTTG